TGTGTGTGTGTGTGTAGGGTCTGCTGTACGCAGGTTCAGAGTTTGGTTCTGTTCAGATGCCAGTCAGTAACTGCAGCCGCTACGACACATGTGTGGACTGCATCCTGGCCAGGGATCCGTACTGTGCCTGGGACTTTTCCACTGAGCGCTGCTCCTCGGTCCACAGCTTACCCCCCTCCTCAATTAGTGCAATGCAGAGTCTGAAGGAGGGAGACGTCTCACGCTGTCCTCAACCAGGTATGCTCACATACAGTGTGTTGTTTGCATGCATCACTGGGGAGATTCTTTGGATGAGCCAGCAGTTGTTTTCATAAGAATGCAGGGGGACCAACCGTGTGTGTTTGTGTGTGTGTGCGTGTGCGTGTGCGTGTGTGTGTGTGTGTGCGTGCACGTGTGTGTGTTTTAGATCCAGTTGCAGCTGTGGACTTCACCCTTGTCCCACAGAACAACATCCAGCTGTCTTGCCAGCTCCACTCCAATTTGGCACAGGTTGTCTGGCGTTTCTCCGACCAAACACTTCACTCCAACCACAAATACTACATCTACGGCGGAGGCCTCCTCATCTTGAGCGCCTCTGAATCGGACGCTGGTCTTTACACCTGTGACTCAGTAGAGCAGATAAACGGCAGAACATACAACCGAACTGTGGCGGTTTATCGTTTAAAGCTCTACTCTGACCCGGGAGTGGGGGAAAGCACCACTCCTGGCACTGAGGTGACGAATTCCTGGGACTCTTCTCACACTCTGAACACAACTGCTCTGGTGCCAAACCAGGGTGAGGACCCGTCGTCCCCGGAGACGCACAGCGACACTGGCAGAGTGACTCGTTTGGAGGTGGCCGTGGCTCTGCTCTCGCTGCTTTGCCTCTGCCTGATGGGGGTCATATTTTGCATCTGGAGTGGAGGACGCTGGGCGTGCTTTAGATTTACGCCGGTGCTCCAGAGCCCCAGTGAGAGCGAGGGGAAGCGGAAGACGTCGTGCGAATACATGCACATCCAGAACAGGACGTCAGAGGTAAAGTTTCTGGGGCCTGAATCTGGGAGCACTTGTGCAGCCAATAATAATCACACTACTGTGGACTTCAAAGGGAACGGCGAGCACCACTTCACACCTATGGCCAACATTTCAAGTCTGGATGGTCTCGGATACATAAACGATGAGTCAGAGATTTGACTCTGCTGAGTTATGGGATTCAGTCGGAGGCCAACGCCAGTGCACTAATTATCTTTCTATAGGTGTACATCTGAAGAGAGACGGTTCTCAGAAAAGACATTATAAATTCTTTTGATAGGTGCTCTGGTTCTCCGCGCAAATTTCCTGCACTGTCTATCATTTCCACACTGTAACATGGCAGCTGAGGTTTAGTGTAAAGACTTTCTCTGGTGGGATCTCCACGCTAGGAAAGACATTTTTATATATAAATGTATGTATTTTTTGTACAATGACAACTAAAGTGAATACACTTTGTGTAACATATTTTGTAATGTGCCAAGACATTTTCTTTTTTTCAGCTATTTATTAGTCGCACCGAAATTTTTATTTCAGCTTCAAACTCTTAATAAGTCCTGTAAATATGGTCGACAACAATGAACAAGTAGCAAACACTGTGACCTCTCCTCCGTTCCCAGTCACATTTAATTTTATGGATACTACTGTTTATTTAAGACAACATTCATCAGCATCACTGGCTGTTAATGATTAATCAGTCCTCTATGCTGCTCCTTTATTTCATGGTGGCTGTTAAAGAATTAATGCCACAACTTTGTATTTAAACATTCAAACGACGCTCAACTGGTGATACAGAGCATAAGTGAACTTTATAACTCCTCTTTCTTCCTTAACCAAAAAAAAAAATTGATGATCTTACTCAAGTAAATGTTACATAATCATTTACAGTTCAATTGTGTAACCAAGGTTGTTTTAGCTATATTTTACATTCCAGGCATATTCTTACTGTGAAAAAAGATAAAATGTCTTTGGGATGTAGATATGCGGGTGAACATTTCTGGCAGTGAGTCAACTCAGAGAGACACATCTCAGTTAAGTGATAGTGTCAAGCTTTGGAAAATGCGGTCCATGTTCATAATAATAATAATAAAAACTCATTAGCCGTTTGGCGCATATGCTGCTCTCAGTGTCTAAGAATTGCATTTGAAAGCAAAGCCAGAACGAACATGTCTTGATTTTTGCAACACACACACACACACACACACACACACACACACACACACACACACACACACCTTGGTTAACACTGTGAGACAGACCAACTAAATGACAGGAATCTGCTCCGTGTTTTTCACACTGTCATTAACAACAGCGCTCAGAGAGCTGCCTCATGTTTCATCTGAAGTGCTGTAGATATGAAAAGGATGAAGTGGGTCTCTGCTCAATTATTCAACAGTGCTGTATAAGAAAATTGGTCATGTACTAAGTTGAGGATATATATATATATATTTTATTGGTCCTATCAGGTGATAGATTAATAAAATATTGCCAATGCTGCAGAATAGTTTTTGCTGTTAATGCTTTACATTTACTCAGGGGAATCAAGACTTGCCATGTTATTGTCTCCAGTTTCTTTATTCCAAGAACAGCCATGGGGCTCACACTGATCTGTTTTTAAGTTTCAAAACTCACTGTCGATTTTTTTTAGCTGCCCCCTCTCTACAATTCATCACTCTTCATTTAATGAGGTTTCTTTTCATACTTTTACTTCAGGCTTTCTTATGGAGTTCTGCAATGTTGCTCACAGGCGTATTTTAAATCCCAAACCCAGTTTCTTCCAATATGTCTGGCTTACACTTCTGAATATATCAATGTGACGACATTATCTCTTTGCCGGGGTGAACGATTTTAGTCTAAGGATGAGAAATACAGAGAGAGAAAAAAACAGCAAAAATGGCCCCTAACAAGAACAACCAGACACCACTTGGACCCACAGAATAACAGAGGCTGCTTAGCAGTGCATTTTCTCACTTTATTAGAAAAGCATATGGATGTTTATCAGTTGTGAATTGTAACATAGTACATTTACTTTGTTACTGTAATTAAGTAAAAGCAATTGTAGCTGTAGTTCACTTAAGTTGATTTATTTGTATGTACTTT